AAGTATGAATGGGAGGGTGTTGGTACCTGGGGAAGAAGTTGGTATCCTTGGGGTGAAATTTGACTCCAAACTGACCATGAAGAACCACATTGTAAATCTTGCAAACCAGGCAGCCAGGAAGCTTACAGCACTTTGCCGTATCTCGCATCTTCTTGACAGTAGGTGTTGCAAGATTCTGTATGAGGCACAAGTATGCTAACACCTTGAGTATGCTCCACTTTCTTGGTTTGCCTGCTCCCCCTCTCATCTGCGACTGGTTGACAGTAAAGAACAGAGCAAGATGTCTCGTCTCTCTCCTGGACCTATCCTGGATAGATCTGTCATTTCAGCAGAGCCTTCAACACAGAAAGGATGTGGGTGGCCTTACTGTTATGTAGAAGGCCACCATTGTCAAAGTACCACATTTGGGTCCACTTCAAGGACAGTGAGAAACAAGCTTCTATTCCACAAGATGGGCAGAAAGTAGCAACTTCACTCTAGCTGTACCCTTCTCCAGAACATCACTTCATCTGAGATCATTTATCCCCAGGATGACCCGAGTCTGGAACACGTTCGTACAGCATAATGATATCAACAAGATAGTCAGTTCATGAAATGAAAATGCTGACCCACAGATGGCTCCAACTTCATCCTGTTCCCTACTTTTATGTTTCATAACAGTGAAAAATGCTTTCAGATGAGCTGATGTAGGTAACAGCTCTTACCTTGTCAATAAAGTTAGGAATCTCTAACGTGTCAATAGCTTGTCAATAAAGTTAGGGATCCTTAACCTAACCTTGTCAAACCCTGTGTCAAAAAAAAAAAAAAAAAAAAAAGGCGGAGGCAGACAAAGACGGAGATACAGAGATAGAGACAGCTAAAATCAGTCAGCCACCCATCCTGCTGGCCTGCTGGACACACAGTACACACGTTCCAGAATTGTCTTTACTTAGGGCATAGGTTATAGGATTGGAAGTATGACACCAGTGGTATCAAAATTGAAAGGATGTTGCACATGGGTTATTATCGAGGTTTTTGATATTTTCTCGACCACTTGTGGCCACATCCATCTCAAAGCCACTAAACTCAGGGTCAACATCACTTCCCTTTTAAAAGGGGAGTGTTAATACAACATAAGTGAATCCCTGGTGTTTGCCATGGTGTTTGCTTTCGCTGGCAATCAATTGAATTGGTGCTCCCACAAGCTATTAAGTGGTCCCAGATATTTTTAATACTGCACACACTGAGTGTTAAGACCCATTCCTTACTGCCCAGGCATCTCAGGTCAATCGTGCCAAATTTGGAGGCAGGAAAATTAGAACACTGATTTGTGTATGGAGCGCTAGTGGTAACAGCGTAGATCTATGTTTAGACAGTTAAGGGATTAAGGTAAGAAATATGATTTCTGTTGCATTTGTAGCTGCAATAGAAAAAAGACAATACACAATTGACAATGAGCAACAACTACATAATAATTTTTTATAAGATTTGGAGACCTAAAAAATTTTTTTTTTTTTGTTTTTTTTTGGGGGGGGGGGTTGTCTTAGGAATGTAACCTTATTTTCCTTTCAAGTTTTTCAGTTCATTTAACACAGATTCGTCTAACACTGCAATTTTAGGAACAAAACTACAGCGGTAATCTGTGGTGTACTCTCAAATATCTGAACACATTTGCTTCTCCATACTCGCTCCCTCCTAAACTCATCCACTAACCTTTGCAACTTCTCTTCAGACTCTCCAAAAGTGTAGTATCATCAGCAAAAAGTAACTGTCAGCTCCCCTTGTGTATTTGATTCTGCATAACTGAATCCCACCCCTTCCCCCAACACCCTAGCACTTAATTCTTTTACAACCCCATCTATAAATATGATAAACAATCATGGTGACATAACACATACCTGTCTAAGGCCTACTTTTACTGGAAAGTAATTTCTTTCTCTTTCTCCTATACACCTTAACTTGAGCCTCGGTATTCTCTTAAAAGCTACAGCATTTATTAACTTACCACCTATTTCGTACACTTGCACCATCTGTCACATTGCTCCTTTATCCACCCTATCATTTGCCTTTTCTAAATCTGAAAAAGCAGCAAAAACTTTCCTATCTTTATCTAAGTATTGTTCACTCGTATGCTTCAATGTAAACACCTGGTCTACACATCCCCTACCCATTCTAAAGTCTCCTTTTACCCCTAATTCTTTCAATAATAACCCTACCATGCACTTAGTATACTTAGTAGGCTTTCTTCTTTCAACGAGCTGGCCATATCCCACCAAAGCAGGGAGAAGGGTTACTAGCCCCTTGTTCCCGGCATTTTAGTCGCCTCTTACAATGAGCATGGCTTATGGAGGAAGAATTCTATTCCACTTCCTCATGGCGATAAGTGGAAATGAACAAGAACTAGTAAGAAAAATTAAGAAAATTCAGAGGGGTGTGTGTATAACTGTGTGGTCCCTTGTTTTTCGTAAGCATCGGAAGTCGTAATCTTCATAAATCGTAACATTTTTTCATCAAAATATTGACTCGTAAATTATTGTTCGACTCTCAAATAGCCATTCGTCCCAGACGCGTACGAGCGGCCCCACACACCATTCACAGTGTGCCATTGTTTATCAGCGAGTGAGCACGATCCCAAGCGTTCATATGATGCATTTCGTAATATTCCATTCATTTTAGTGCTTGCAACTGCTAAATAAGCCACCATGGGCCAAAAGAAAGCTCCTAGTGCCAGCCGTTTGGTAAAGGTGATAAACACAATAGAATTCATGAAAGAACTCTTAGCAAAGTACCAAAGTGGAGGAGGAAGAGAGAGGGGAGAATGTGCCTTCTTCAGTGATTCAGTGTTTCTACAGTATGTATGATACTAAAGCAGTACGAGTCGATAAAGGATAGAGCAATAAAGTGTCGCATTAACAGTGTAGCAAGTAAGTTAAGCGATTGATAGAGAAAAGACAGCACTAAATTAACTCTTCCAATGTTATTGGAGGTATATAGGGCTACTGACAACATTGCTGCTGCCTTCACCACCACTATGTAAGGCTTATGCTTCAGTGGCCCTTATACACCCAACAACAAAAACACAGCACTCGTGACATACGTAATGGCATATTTTATTCATTCTAGCGTATATGTCATGTTTCTATGTTATTAATATTGTTTATTATGTCATATTAGATGAATTGTGGTAGATAAATAAGCCTTAGAGTTGATATTAGTGTCATATTGAAGGACTTGTCCTGTCTCTATACACACTTCCCTGCTGCTGCCACAATTCCTAACAAATGTAATGGCATATTTTATTCATGCACCAGCAAGAGTCTTCAATAAAGGTAAGTGTGATGTTATTGTTTTATTCTTCATGTCTCATTGTTTTCTGTGTATGTAAATCTATATTTCATGTAAAAAAAAAATATTTTTTGTTAATACTTTTGGTCTGGAACGGATTAATTGATTTACATTATTTATTATGGGGAAAATGGTTTTGCAAATCGTTAATTTCGCCATTAGTCACACACTCTGGAACAGATTAATTACGAAAAACGAGGGTCTACTGTATATGCTTGTACGTGCATGTGTAGTGTGACCTAAGTGTAAGTAGAAGTAGCAAGACATAATGAAACTTTGCATGTTTGAGACTAAAAAGATACCAGGAATACCACCATCATGCAAAACAATTAGAGGCTTCCATTTTACACTCGCTTGGTAGGACGGTAATACATACCTCCCTGGGCGGTTGCTGTCTACCAGCCTACTACCTAGGACTCGGTAGGCTTATTCCCCTATAATTTTTAATCTTTTGTCCCCTTCCCTTTATACAAAGGAACTATGCATGCCTTCTCCTCTTCCATACATTTATTGAACGAAAGTACGAATCACTCCAAAACTATATCCCCAACTGCTTTTAACATTTTTGTCATGGTCCCATAAATTCCAGCTGCTTTATCCCCTATCATTCTACCCATTATCTTATGCATCTCCCCCACACTCACATCTGGCTCTTCACTCTTGAAAGATGGTATAGAGGGGCAACAAATATATTATTTGATTGTTGCTACAGTTAATAAGAGGTAGATGGGGGGCAGAAGGAAAATGGCATCAGAAAGTAAGAGAGGTGAAAGTTTATAAGGGAGGAGGAAGTTAGGGTGAGATATTAGCAACTGTTTTGAGAAAGGTGGGGTAGTGAGAGTATAGGTAGTGTGGGGGTTGAAGAGGCTTGGGATAGTTTTAGATATGCAGTGTTAGAATGTGGGGCAGAAGTTTGTGGATATAGGAGGATGATTGATGGGAGCAGGAGGAAAGAGGAGTAATTGATGGAATGATGAGGTTAGGGGTATAAGGGAGAAAAGTTCACTTATGAGAGGCTTTTATAAAGTAGAAGTGTTATAAGAAGGGTGGAGTATATGAAGAGTAAAAGAGAAGAAGAGTGGTGAGGGAGTGCAAAAGGAGAGCAAATGATAGTGGGTGTGGGGCTGTCAACAAATTTTGCTGAGAATAAGAAAAAGTTTTGGAGTGAGTTAAATAGATTGAGAAAACCTAGGGAACAAATGGATTTGGCAGTTAAAAACAGAATAGGGGAATTACTATTAGACAGGGAGTTGGAGGTATTGAGAAGATGGCAGGAATATTTTGAGGAACTGTTGAATTCTGATGAAGAGGAGGAGGCAGTAATTTCATACATTGGCCAGGGAGGTATAACGTCTTAATTACATATATTTTTTTAATGTTTATTTCCTTCATTCTAGTGTATTGACACCTTCATTTTCAATATGGTTCAGTTTAGTCGTGGGCTTTCTTGTCACATATTCCACAGCATTTTAAGTAGGTGCTTTGCTTTTACATTTAACAGACCAACTAGCTCCCTGGCTTTTAAAAACATTCTAAATCATTGTACCTTACTTTGTGGCAGAGTTAATGACCTTTCCAAGTTGTATCCTTTAATATCTATTAATGGTTCTGGGGGTCATTATGCGTGAGGCCCAGTCTCAGACCTCTCAACCAATAAGACGTTTGTAAATCCGTAGGTTGTGCGTATCATTCGGGATTCTCCTCCAGTGGATGGGCCCAAGAAATGTAATAGGAAGACAAAGTGTGTGATCATGTAAATTTGGTTTGTTTACACTTAAACGTTGTATCACCTTTCAATGCACTGTTGCATTAGCAAACCCCCAATATAAAGGTTTCTTCTTAGATCATTGCTTATACCTTCATTTTTTATCATATGACTTTGAAAACAGTTCTATGGCTTGGATAATTATTTTCTTGTATTAAAAGAAATATTTGTTTTATAATACATTATGGACCATCAGAAATGCCTTTTTTTTTTTTTTTTTAATTTAAATGCAATGCAAGAGTAGCATTTAAGGCAGCATACGATTAAGTACCACATTTATGTGGTACTTAATTGTATGTTTTTAATTTTTTTCAGTCAGACTATAATGTGTGGTGATCCACACAGTGCTACACCCTTAAGATGAGTTAAACTAGATTTTTTTGTTTCTCCATTTTATTTTAGAGTATAAAACATTTGGTTGAAATACCTTTGAGCTACAAGCATTTTATGTTTTTTTTTTTAATTTTAATCCTGCAAACTTAGTGTTCTTTGTAACTTGTAACTTAAAGTTCTTGTGGGTGTTAATGATCTGTAAAATATACTAGATACCTCCATTTTCTTAAGTGTCAACATATGTTACTGTACACAAAGTTTATATTGTTATAGCTTTAACCTTTCTTTCATATTATACCAAAGACATTGGGTAAGTGTGCTCTAAGCACAGTTCTGTATGATTATTTGAGTTAATATATATTTTTTTTACTATAACCATGGTTCAAAAAAGCTTAGCTTGGGCTAATGATGCTGAAAAGGCATTTTTTTTCCTTCTGTTGGACCACTTGTGTAGATTTATCTCAATCCTTATGTACCGATGGTCCAGTCTGCTTGCCATACAAGTGCTTAAAGTAGAAAGTCCACATTATCTGCTATGTCATCACCAGGAAAATGTTTCAGAATTGTCATGCAAGATTTTAGCTTAAAAATGCTCAGCAAAGAATTCTGAATTTAAAAATGCTACAAAAGTGAGCTGCAATTATGCTAAACTTCTAGAGTAACGATTACAAGAACAGCAAAACCTAAGCACTTTTGTGAGCTCATTAATACACCCAGAAAGGTACTAACAAAAAGAATAAGATCCAGGTGTGTAGGAATAAAATGGGTGGCTTACACTTTTCCAAGAGAAGATTAAGTAGTTGGATGCATATACTAATAGGAGGCATAATATGACAGGTTGGACTTGACCTAGTGTTTGGTATACACCTTAAAGTGCGCAGTACCTCCTGCAATGAAATATGTCAGTCATCAGTTCTGTGGCAAATGTGAAACAAGATCAGTAACATTTTATATTCATTGTGTATAAGCATGAACTCATTTATGTACAATAAGGTAACACTTTATGTTCAGTGTGTTTTAAGTATACAGTATAGTGTCAAGACTTTATACTAATGTGGTCAAGTGCTCTCAGTCCTTCTGGGGCACCCTGGAGGGTAGGACTACTAGCGAAGATCACCAAGCCCTCTGTAGTGCTATTTTTAGCATGGTGAATATCACACGAAATCAGTATCATTTCTTTTTTCAATGTTTTTAATTATAAATATCAACTTGAGAAATAACTTACAGGAAGTTCATGAAGTTAGAATGCTTAAAAATCGTTAATTAACAGATGTGTGTGTTTAAGCCAAAAAAATGATAGTGTTGAATACAGCGAATGAACAGGCTCCAAAGTTTTTCACTTTAGTATTATTGAAATTAGGTGGAGGAAATAGATAAGTAATAATTTTTCCAAAGATCACACTATTCCTATGATACATTGATAACATTTTGTGTTTAATGAAAGTTCAGTACTAAATAATAAACCTAATTTATTAATATATAGAATTGTTTATTTTATGCAGGAAACTTAAATTATTAAAATGCTAAGGGCAATTGATGGACACCAAGATGCAGAAGACGTCACATTTCTTTACTAATATTCGTAAAGTGAGTGTTTTTTTTTTTTTTGCAGAGAAAACAATCTTTAATTGTATGATATGAGTCGTCTTCCTGTGGTTTATCAAGTATATTTTGTACCATAAAAACTGTCTGGCCTATAGGTTCCAGAACTTAGGTTTGACTCTATTTAGAGATGATGATACAGTATTATGCCATTGTGGCCAAACAAGCTAAATTTTTGTAATATTAGATTTAATTATTTCAACGTTTGGATTGGTATACAGGATGTGAGAATATACTGCACCAGAAGTAATTTCCCTCCTTAATCTTAACCTTGCTAATTTACTTAACCTAATATAGTGTAACACTAATTTGGTAAAGATCTGCCTAAATTTAGTAAATATTATCTGTCATTATTGAAATATATTTTTTGATACAGACTGATTTTTGCTGAATTCTAGAAAAATTAAGATAGTGTAAGCTGCTTGTTTGGCAAAACTGTTTGCCAGATTAGGTAAGATGGCGAGCAGTTATTGAAAAAGCTCATGCATTCATAGACATATCTAATGTGCAAAATAACCACAGTGAAAAAATAGTGCACACATCTAATATGAATAATGTCCTTGCTCCATCTTAGATATTTAAGTCATTGATTGGTGTAATTACTATTTAAAATGTTAAATTTATGATCAAGTGTGGATCACAGTACTTCTGACCGTGGTGTTTTAACCCTTTGAGGGTCGACAGGCCCTCTCCGAAACTCGTTCTCAGGGTCGGCCAAATTTAAAAAAAAAAAAAATTATTTTCTTTATGAAAAATAGAGAATCTTTCCCGATCATAAAGAAAACCAAAAGTTTAAAATTTTTGAGAGAAAACTTACGGAATTATGCTCTCGCAAAGTTAGGGGTCTCGGCGATGTTTACGCATCGGCGTTTTTTGCCCACTTTGAGCCCCTTTTTTCGCCCAATTTCACTGTACTAGCCCGACAAAAAACATGAATATTTTCGCTAGAACTCCATTTTTTCTATCGAATGGGTGCAAGAAACCACTCATTTATGTAATTCAACTATCCAGTACAGTGGTCAGAATTTAGCAATTTTGCCAAATTTTCACACAAATTTAAAAAGATGCCAATTTCTGAATAGGGTCCAGAATAAACAAGAAAGACATTCCTGGCACTAAAATGACATTTCCTCTAGTCATTAGTCACGTCTCAAGGCCCCTCTTATATTCTTTTGCTTTCCACTTTGAATTTTTATTCTCACAAAAATTAAGATTTACTGTTATGGCAGACTACTGCATTAGTGTAAAAAATGGTATAAATATTATTGGTGCACTTGTGAAAGAATATTAGACTCACCAGTTGAGTGTATTGCACGTTTGCACATTTGTTTACTTTTGAAGTTTGTAAAAATCGAACATTCTGCTACTTGAGCTCAATTTCAAGGCACCTTTCTTGTAAAACCAGTCAAAATCATCTAAATTTTCTGTAATATGTCTTCCATTCTATAAAATGAGACCAAGAAAACTAGAATCAACAATAAATACCATACGAAAATACACTGCAAAGTCGCTGATTTATTAAAAAAAAATGGTCAAAGTTTTTTTTTTCTCATTATGCACTGTGTGCTGCAGGATTTTTTTTAGACTGTGCACACTGACCACATAGACCCATTCTTTCATATGAAGGCCTACCAGCTTTCTCCCACTAGATTTGAGGCCGCTAGAATTTATGAGTACTAGTACGTCAAAAACCCCTACGCGTAAGACGTACTAGTACGACGAAAACCCTCAAAGGGTTAACTATGGTAATTCTGATCATGGAAACACCAGTGACAATGACATAAAGCAGCATGTGGCTCTTGAACTGGATCATTCATTAGAACCACAGATCTTACCATCTAAAGTAACTGATGTTGACAATACTTGATTTATAGTATTAAACTCTGTGGTTAAGATATGCTTGAATTGTTTCTTCATTGGCAGATTTAGTACCATGAATGACCCATATGATGCTTGGGCTTCCTCTGCATAGCTTAATAATAATAATTAACTGGTAGAAGTAACAGGATCATGCAGGAATATTTTGCTTTATTTTAATTAAGGAAAAGTTTTTATAGTGTTTTGAAACTGGAAAGCTCTGATCATGATAATGTACTAATATATAAATGTTTTATTGATTTTGCAATGAGACAGACCAAATAGATAATCTGGGTAATTTTTTTTTTTTATAAAATTCTAAGCAGATGGAGTCTGTATACCAACTGACAGCCTGTTTTATTTGTTAATTGCTTTAAAATTGTAATAATGAAAGAATAAAATGATCAGATGATATTTATATTTTGTGTGATATTTATAAGATATACAGGTTTAAAATTTTAATTATTGAAATAAATCTTCAATATAAGAGAGTGAGTCAGAGCTGATTTTTACTTTGTATGAAGAGGCTTACTGTAGCCATCAAAAATGTAATTTCATAAATCACTTGACAGTGGCTTTTGGCCACCGAAGTGTGAATCTGGGCTGATGGTAGGACACAAAATTTTGTTAGTTTTGAGCCCAGGTTTACTAGAAGTTTGTCATTCAAAATTGCTGTGACTCGGGTTGGTTCTTGTGTCCTCTGCTCAAACAGAAGCACAAATAAAAATGTCCAAGACATTCTGTTGAAGTGCTCAAATTATGAATTATTTTCATCTTATCATTGATGACTGTGATTATGAGGTAGCTCCTTTTGTGAATTGTAACACTACAGCTCATCTAAGGAGTGGAAAGTATTTTAATTTTTTACAAATTTATGTATAAAGAAATTTTAACAGCATCAAGATATATTAACTGGAAAGTCACCACAGGAAATTTTAAGGCACTTGGCACAAAGCCTAGGTTAAGAATAGCTCTTAGTTTGTATTGTCTGTCACCCCTCTCCCCTAAAGGGCCCTCCCACACACTCACGATTCCCCCCTTGAGCAGGTGTGGGGGTGCCTTTGGGTACGACAATACTCACTATGTGTGGTGTGGGATCACTTGTCTCCCATGAGGCATTGCCAGGTAGGAGGTATTTTCATGATTATTATAAATGAAAACTCAGTAGTGGTTGTTTCATGATTGACAATTTCTGCATGTATTGCAGGATGCACTAGGTGCCATTTGTCTG